TTCACTCTCAGGTCATAGTCTTTAGTGCGATTGAAATTGCAAACACAATAAAAAATACTTCTTTCGTAAAAGACAGAAAACAAACTTCAAACCTTTTTGCCCCGTGGGCCCATAAGTCAAAGGAAGCTTTTCTGAAGAAAAGAGTGTCGTTAAACTTCAGCGTCAATGCAAACAGGCTTTGTCCCTAACTGCTGGAACTGTTGTTTAACCCCACTCGATAAAAAAGATGAATCTGAATCCCCATAATGCGTAGTTTCCCGAACTACGTAAGCTCTGATCTCTCCTACCTGTTGAGAGTACGTAGGCACAATACTGATGTATTGGCGAGCCACCTTCCCCGTAACTCGTCGTAGGTCGAACTACGTTGACTCTGATTTCTCATTCTCTGATGAGAATACGTAGGCATAAAGCGCGGCGCTTTGCCGAGTCATTTTTCTTTTCTATTTAAGCCAGCCTTGATAGGTAGATAGATAAACCAACTCGTCTAGTAAACACAATAAGCGTGGATCCCGTCGAGTACGACGGACGTGAAGGGTGCTAATACCTTCCCCTTACGTAACCGACTCCCGAACCCTGACACTGGTTGCGACGACCTTGTCTTACCCTTTTTCGTCAGGTTTTTCCGATGGTTTCCTTTCCCGTTCCGAGGGATAAATAAAGAAAGGTGGCGACTCTTCTGTTCTGCCGGCACCTTATTTTCGCGGAAGCGACACACATATGCTATGTTCAGAATCCTCAAAAGGGCATTTCGGTGTGCCTCGGAGCACAGTAGTAGAGATAGAATGGATATTTTGGATGGGGTTTGTTGTAGGTGATCACCAATTTTGTAATCGCTCTTTTTAATCAGACGCACGAACTCCTTAGCATCTTTCAACAGAGCATCCTTCTCGCCTTGTTGAGAACTTTCCTCTACAACAAAATTTCCCTTCCCTTTATCTGGCTTCTCAACATTAACTTCTGGAGGTGAAAACACTTTCCCACTCCTTGTCATTCCACTGGTTCCAATCAAATTATCAACAGATGAACTATCTGACAACGTCTCCCTCAATTCTTGTTTTTGGCCATTACAAAAGACCTCAGCCCCATAGTTCCACGGGATTGCTTTATTACTTTCATAAGGCACTGGTCTTGCCTTGGTGATTATGACAGTTGCTGGCCTCGGCAGCGCAGATATGTTAATCGTTCTGAATGGGATTGAGATAGTAGCAATCTCATCCTGCTCTTGATCTATCACCTTCTCGTCTTTTTCTTCAATTCTTTCAAATTTTAACACGCCTTTATTCATTAATCTCTGAAAACGATTCTTCAAGTCCTCACATCCCTCGAGATGAGCCAAAAAACCTTCACAGTCATCCCCACAGCCTGGTAAAACTCCACCTTTTAACAGCCTACTCTTGACAAAACTCAAAGGAGTTCTCAACTCTTCAACGCCAGTCACTAAATTTAGATTATCTTCTTCAACAGTAGCGTTGACACCAGCCCCTCCGTGGTTGGGCATAGGGTTTTGAACAACATTAGGCGTGTCATTTGTAAAGTTGATGGCCTTGCTATCAATGAGGTATTGCACTTTATGTTTGAAAGCCTTACAATTATCTATGTGATGACCAGGGGCGCCTGAATGGAAGTCACACCTGGCGTTTGCATCGTAACCCAAGGGTGGTGCGCCAGTCAAAGGTGCCAATGTCCTCTTCTTCACCAACTGAAGCTGCAACAAATGTTGTAACAGTTGCGAATATGGCATAGGAGGATCGTCAAACTGTCTATTCATTATTCTCCTACGGTCTTGAAACTGATGTGGTGCATAATTCTGCTGTTGTTGTTGTGGACGTTGTTGTTGTTGTTATTGAGGTTGTATGGCTGGAATAACAATACTTGCAACTTGAGGCTGTTGCTAATGATATTGTTGATTTCTATTTCTATTACTGTTTTTATTTTTGTATCCTGAAACCACGTCCATTTCTCCCTCCCTCTTCTTGTTACCAAAGTTCTTTCTTCCTCCCCCAGATGAGGATCCCTCTCCCACTTGGATTTTTCCCAGCTTAATACCATTCTCAACTTGTTCACTAGTGATAATTAAATCTGAGAAGCTACCAGACATATTCCCTATCATCTTTTCATAGTACACCCCAGGTAATGTGGCTATAAACATATCAATGAGTTCTCTCTCTCCACCATTGGAGGTTGAACCCTTGCAGCCAACTCACGCCACCTCTGTGCATACTCTTTAAATCCCTCATTACTCCTTTGTGACAGATTCTGCAATTGCACACGGTTGGGCGCCAAATCACTATTGTATTGATAGTTTCGGACGAAGGCCTCCGCAAGGTCTCTCCAACTTCTGATATTGGTTGGCTCTAAACCCATGTACCACTCCAAAGATGGGCCAGACAAGCTGTCCTGAAAAAAGTGCTTCAGCAACTTCTCGTCATCAGAGTATGCAGACATTTTTCTATAGTATTGTTGCACCCTAATTTTTGACCTTAAGATTCCACCTCCTTTTTGTATTTTTATCTATTTTTATGGGAATTTTTATCAGGACTAACGAAGGTGGGCAGGATCATTTTGGCTTTTTGAAACGTCTCCGGCCGGTTTTATGTGGCCTTTTAGTGAAATAATGAGGACTCAAATTCAAGGACAAGTCATATATGTTTGAAATCCAGCAGGGCATTTAGTTCAACTGTGCAAATTCAAGGAGCTTTTTTTTCTTCAAGGGAGGATAGGTTCCATCAAGTTTTAGGTTCAAAAATGATTCAAATCTTGCCATGGAATTAGTTCAAACGTTTCATTACAAGAATACAAAGTCCAAGTCCAACGAAAACCAATTCCGAGAGGTATTATTATCGGCATGAATTGAGCATGTTAGACTTGAGAGGATTAAGGCAAGAACACTGCAGAGGATGAATATTAAATATCCTTTCGTTAATTTGAACTAAGCTATTTAAAGGAAACGTACATCATTGTTTTTAAGTCAATCAAGTATCTAAGACAATTCCAAATTTGAGGAGGTTTATTGCAAGACTGTATCCAAACTTCAAATAGAGAAAAAACCTCATCGTTGATTCAAGTGATGTTCATACATTAAATTACAAGAGAATAAAGTCTAAAAATAACTTAAAGAGTATCCTTATTTATCTTGGTGGAATGATCTGCCTTGATACCATCTGCTAAAGCTCTGATGCCGTTACCAAAATCCACGGGACATGTTTGGAAACTGCACCAACAAGAATTTATCAGATAAGCTGCAAGTTCATAACCTGAGCTCCTCCGTGACGACATGATTAACGCACCAATACGAGAGCTACTTCGAACCTTTGACGCAACAACCCGAGACAGCAGCACCTGCACGGACATAACAGAACCTCATTTCTTCTTCCTACAGTGCCTCGGAATTCAGTCGTGAACAGGACGATGATGGAATTCAGGAAGACTTCAAGGCCAAGACTCAACACCGTGACCTACATAAGAATGCATTCGCTTTGGCCCCATCTTGATTTCACCTCTGCATAGTCCCACTTCATACAACCTGCAAAGTACCTGATAAGAGAAAACCGCAATCGACAATTAGAATAACATTGACAAAGTTAAATTGGAAAGTCAAAGTGAATTTTTGTTCAGCCCTCAGATCAACTCATCATAGGGCTAAAACTCGAGCAGCCGGGAGGACTATGACCGAAGCCATTATCAACTCTCTACCGAACATCGAAAAACCGAAGTAAGGCAACTATTTCGAACAGCTCAACATAATTCGCAAGGCAACTACATTCAACGACACCAATGTGGTTCAGACTTATAGGTCATCATCACCGTTATACCCTTCTCGCCGACGGCACAAGACCGGCAGCCTCCAGACTTATTTGCACCTGAAAAAGAAGAGGAAAATCAGTATGTTTCCAATAACTCAAGACCGAAAGCAACAATGGAACCAAGTATCTCAACAAGCTCGCAACAGGCCGTGAAAAAGCAACCTCATCAGCAACCATATCAGTTGAAAGCAATAAGTATACCAAGCATAAGCCCCGGCTAGCATTTGCAAGAAGAATATGCCACTGCAATACAGAACAAACATCAATGCCAACGGCGGGCAACACTAGCTGCAGCTGCGAGCAACGTCGACAATGTCATTTGCAAACAAATATCAACGTCAAATACATAACACTATAATGTCATTAGCAACAAAATTGACAAAGCAACATCCGCAACAGCATAACATCCACGGTGTCAACTGCAAACAGCATCATTACAACGGTAAAACAATATCAACGATACCAACCAGCACTCAGAACGCCGTTAAAGATTGAACTTACGGTTTAAGGATTAAGATGATTGTAATTTAAGTTAAAACCCTCAGCGTTAAGCTCATCATCGGGCAGCAATGTGAGCGGCCGGGAGAGCAACGACCAAGGCCGTCACCGACTCCCTACCGAACGTCGGAAGGATTGGATTTCAGACAGAAAACAACTAAGCTCAAGTGGCTCAACACAATTCGAAAATAAGCAACATCGAAGCAACGATAACAAGCCAATACGGTCCGGACTCGCTAAGTCGTCATTACCGCATCAACACTTTCTTGGAGGCCTCAGATAAGGCAGTATCTGTTCCTGGAAGAAGAAGAAGAAGAAAATGTTAACATGGTCCCAAACAAATCCAACAGACACCATTAAACCATGACATTAAGAAGGAAAAAGAACGATTGGATTAACAACCATCAATTCGTGCCCCCATCAAAACCAGTTTTAAGTCGAGCAGCTCCCAAAGGCATCATCTGACACATATGAAACCAAGAGAAGGGAGGGTTGATAACTATTTCCAACCCTGCAGAATCCACAGTGAGCCCCATCCGAATCCGCCAGTGAATCTCTGAACCTGCATTCGCCACCATATATTTGTTAAGTTCATTATAAGTAAAGGGAAAAGGAAACTTGATGAACGAAACCAACCAAGTAAGATGAAATACCTTTTGGAGGAGTAAAACGGAACCAACGGTTATATCCTTTCTGAATTCACGATTCGGTGAAGACTTTACGATAGATACTAGCACCAATAGTGCCAGTAGGATCCTGAAATTCAAACTCTTAACACCAAAAAACTATCTAGCCAAGTTAATTGAATTGAACTGAAATGAATAGAAGAGTACCTTTAGAGTGGCCGTCATGTCTCCAAAACCACTAGGATTGCATGATTTAATAACAACAACTACCGAAGGAACTCTTCCATCACCGTTGAGATGCTTCCTGATCGAACTCAAATTCGTAAAAGATGTTACATCCACTATAAGAAAACGACAACTAAATTCGGTGACAGTTGAATTGAATCGAACGCGATTTAGATGCAGGGAGAAATTAACTAACCTTGTGAAGATTGAAGAAATCGAAATGCAGAAGAGGCACCGTTCATTTGGTAGCTTTACCTCTGTCAAGAAGCATGAAACGATAACACACATCTTCTCCAGCTACCTCTTCAGTTCTGTGGGCCAGTTCAACAAAACATTCTCGATTTGCCCATTGCCTCTAATCCTTCCCAGGCCCAAGGCTATTGCTGTTCACACCTGTCAAAACCAATTGCAAATTAGTAATTGGATATTAATCGATGAAGAATATTCAGGGGATATCCAATCAAATCCAATCTCAGTGTAAACCACAATCAAAGATTTGAAATCCCAGTTAGGAAAGGTTTCAAATTTCGCACAGACAAAAAAGGAAGGTTCAAGGCGGCAATCAATTTCATTAACACATTTTAGGTTATAAAAGGAGGCCATCAGAATCAAACGAAAAGAACGAGGAGATTCACAGTTGGATCCACACGAAAAACCCTATATTCGAAATCGTGAAAGATTGGGAACAGGAAACTTATCTTCCCCGTCGAAAATCTCAACCATCCACCGCAGGATCTCCACCATCCGAAGCCCTAGACGTCATATTCCACGCTCTCGCCGAAAGTCAATCGCACCCGTTACCGGAGAAGCCTCGAATCATCACCACCTTAACCCTCGGTAAGAACTATCGTTCGTGTTGAGTTTCCTTTTGCCATTGATGCTCCGGTATGCTATTGCAGGTTTAGAATTTGAACGAAAAGGGAAGAAGAGACGATGAGGGCGAGACGGAGAAGGGGCAATGGAACGACGGAAAGGGGATTTGGGGGGAAATCTAGGGTTCCCGTCCCTCTTCCATTCATTTTATGTTTATTTAATTTTTTTATTTATCATTTTGTAATATGATTAATTATCACTACACTAACACTAACACTAACACACACCAATCACCCCATTAATCCTTTGCTTTAACCATTTAACCTAATTTTAAATCAACTAATTATAAACCTTCTAATCAATTTTAAAATAAACCCAATATTTCATAATTAATCTTTAATTAGTAAAACTTTTTTATATAATGCTTTTATAATTAACTAATTATTCTTTTTTTAATAATCATAATTTCTTTTTCTAAATAAATAATAATTTTTCCATTTTTATTTAATTTTAAATAAATAAAACTTTTTATAAACTCCTTTTTTATTATGTAATGTGTAAATCCATTTTGTGTTTTTTCATAAAGAACTTTCTTATAATAAAAATTCATATAACTTTTTAAAACTTAGGATAAAAAAAAAATATCTTTAAAATCTAAATATCGTTATCAAGAAATAATCTTTATTAAAACGAATACAACCTTTCTTTTTAAAATCAATTCATTCTTTAAAATAATTCCGCCTAAAATCAACCCGCCCAAAAATAATCAAATACCACTTCTCTTTTTATTAAAATCAAATCAAACACTAAAATCAACTCATATCGTAAAATCAATCGTGCACATTCACATTCACGACACTTGCACCTACACATCAGCGCTTTCATGCGTACTTGTATGGCTTTACATTTCCGCAATTTACTTATTGCAATTTACATTATCGCAATTTATCTATTCATGCATCGCATTCCGTCCAAAGGAAAAACCTACACATAATTCAACGTTGTGCGTAGTTGCACATCATATGCATCATTCCCCCTCGATCCTTGATTCTTCAAGTTGATCGCTTAAGTTTAGGACCTACCCCATAGGAAGGACTCGTCTTTATCTTTTACAACTTAGACAAAACAAACAACAATACAACTTTTCAAACACAAATAGAGAATATATGTTAATCATCTTAAGTGAGATATAATCTCCACCCCCACAACAATACAATCAAACATGTAGGAACTTTGCCTTAAGAGCGATAAAGGCATACTTGGCGACCATCCGAGTATGTAAGACCTTTTCTTAAGACGATGCAAAGACCATTTCCTACAACCCCTCTACATTTGTGGTGGTTATCTCTCCCTTAAAATGAAGACTCATATCTTCTCCTAAACCCAATCAAACAACTACCCTAAACCCGTAGGAACTTTGACCACAATCAAAGAGCTCCTCTAACCCTTTAGGGTGAACTACAACATACTCTGATTCCATTCCCCATAAGGATATGTAGGCACAAGGTGCGATGCCTTATCGAGTATACTTAGAAATAAACCACTAGGGTCCTTTAACCATTAAGCAGATAAACACTTAGCAATAAATAAACATAAAACAAGAGGTTCCTGTAGAGTACTACAGAAACTTAGGATGCTAGTACCTTCCCTAAGTTTAACCAACCCCCGAACCTAAAACAATCTAAACCTTGCATTTGCATTGCATAGGGGGAATTTCGATCTTTATCCCTTCCTTTGGACAAATCAAAGTTCGGCTGCAAATTGAATTAACGATTCAAACTAATCAATAGTTTAGTATCCAAATTCACCGGCGACAAGTATGACCTGAGGTGTACCCTGGGACAGGTCGTCTCTTGTACTTGTCAAAGTCAGGTACCTTGAACTTCGGTGGAATCCTTAGACTTGGGATCAGCCCCAATTTAGACATATCCAGACCAAGAGAATTCGGATTCTCCAAGTTCCTCATATTCTCCTCGATCATTTTGAACCTCTTATTCGCATCAGACCGCAAACCTGCTCCCAGATCTCCCATGGAGAAAATATCATCTTGTTCGTCCTCCTCCCACTAAGGACCGACATTTCCATGTACAGCGCTCGCTGCGCCTGTAATATGACCTTCCGATGGATTACCTCCATCTGAAGGAAAAACAACTGTTGGGATAGCATTGGCATGATGAGTTCCATTTTCAGCTGGAAGGGGAACTATAGCGGTCCTACCATGCAAAACTCCACTTCCATCAACCCTAGTAATCAAAGGTTGAACAAGCGTCCTCAACTGTTCTTGGCCGTTAGCAACCCCTTGCATAAGATCGATGAACTGCGCCATGCGATCTCTAAACTCCTATAGTTCCAGCAGAATTTGATCCATTGCCTTCTGTTGGTTTCCCCTAGTTGAATAACAGTGAATTGTTCGGTCTTCAATCCTGAAACACTGCTGAAGAAACCACAGAAAGTAAGGTCAACAGAAACTGGAACACCTGCAATGCAATATGAAAAATGATGCAAAATGCAGACATGTAAATATGGTTCAGGGAAATTTCCCCCTTGATTCTAGTTCCACGAAAACAATAGGAGAATGGAAAGCTGACAGATGAAGCCATAAAATCTCTCTCATAAATAAAATGAGAAACAAAGTCGACATACAACATATCACCAAGGAAATATGCACCTGAAACACAAATACATGCAAATGTTAAAATGCAAATGCAAATAGGGGATCAAGATTGTTGTGCTGCTGACAGAGTTGAACCAAAGCTTCGCTTCGGCGAGAAAATACCGGAACATCACAAGACCATGGTATAGGAACCTAATAACATCCGAGATCAAAGGTCCGCACTGATAAGAAATCCGGGTAGGTTGGAGGTCAATTTTCCTACATAACCCTCCCACTCAAAAGGTGTGGACCTAATATCTGACAAGGTTCGACATCCTATACGGTCGTCAGTGTCACAGACTTTCGAGAAACGATGATACGTTCACCATTTCTGGTTTGGCATCATAGTCAAACGAAGCGGCCTCACTTAGTTGACTCCAAAATGATCGGTCTCCAGAGTCGACAGTTTTCGGATCCAACATCCCTCTCCCGACCAATGTACAGGATAAGATGTCTTCAAAGAAAACCTCGTCTGAACATGAATTTCGTGAGGACTAGTGCATGTTGCCATGCAGGTCCATCACTACTTTCCACTCTAATGCTAGGTATGTACTCTAGCCAGGGTTTTGGCTTATCTCTCAAAGGAACAAACCCCACCCAACAGCACAATAGTATCATGATAATAATGTGTGAGAAAATAAAATGCAAATGAAAAACTGTACAAATGCAATACATGTACACATATACACACCCACAGATAAAAAAACACACAAGCGCTAGGATTGACTCGCATAAGGGATGGGAATATCCCCAACAGAGTCACCAGCTGTCGCTATTGCGAAAAAGGCCGGCAAATACAGAAGAGTCTCTACCGTTCGTTATGTATCCCAAAGAGAGGGAAAGTAAACGATCATAGAAAACCTACGAAAAAGGGAAAAGACAGGTCATCGCAACCAAATCTTGGGTTCGGGAGTCGGTTACGCAAGAGGAAGGTATGAACACCCCTCATGTTCGTTGTACTCAACGAGATCCATGCTTGTTGTCTATCTAAAAGGGTGTTAAACTATCAAAGGGCTGGCTCACAAGGACAAAAGAAAGGAAAAGAGACTCGACAGAGCATCGCCGCTCTATGCCTACGTATTCCCTCGTGCAATGGGAAAGTCAGAGTCAACGTAGTTCGGGAAACTACAGGTGAAGGCGGGGAAGGTTGCTCGCCAAGACATCACCGTCTTGTGCCTACGTATTCTCATCTGGTGTGAGAAATCATAACAAACATAGTTCGGGCTAACACGACCATTGGTTGGTTAAGTGTTTTAACTGAATAGGGTTAAACCTTCGTTCTAGCAGTTAGAGATGATGCCTGTTTGCGGTAGAACCAAGACTTAACACACTCTTTCTGAAAATGATTTTCAAACAATCCCGAAGGGTAAAAAGGTTTGATGTTTTGTTTTTTTTTAAAAACAAGAAGTGAATTAAGTTAAATTTGAAACTCATGTTGCACTAAAGACTATGACTTAAGAGCGAATGCGTCACATATCGCCCAAAGGGCATACGCTGAACACTCTAGACAATATGAGAGGGGCCCCCAACTATTTATTATCCTTTATTAAGTGTCTTAAGAGGTTACAAGATGAGAAGAGAAGACACAAACTCTAAGGGGAAACTAGATAAACCCTAATGTTATCATGCAAAATGATCATGTTAGTTCTATGATTCTATGATGGTCCATGGTTCTATGATTGGCTAAATTTTGGTAAAACATGATTCTGCACTGATGTTAAGCAAGATGTTATAACATCTTCATCTAATGTCAAGACAGAACTGCTGTCATGTGTT